TGTGCAAGGGCTCTACCACTTGAGCCATGCTCCCAGCCCTTTTTTCTTTAGTTTATCTTTCAGATGAGGTCTTCCTTTTGCGTGGGGTTAGCCTCAGACCCTGATCCTCCTGTCTCTGCCGCCTGTACAACTGGGATTACAGATGTGTACAATCTTGATAAATGTTTTGCCCAGACTTTTGCCGAGACTGGCTTTGAACTTCAATCCTATCTCTGCCTCCTGGGTAGCTGGGATTATAGATGTAAACCTCCACACTGGGCAAAGTAATTTGTAAAGATACTTGATGAAAGAATTAAAAATAGCACATTAAAATATATAAAATAGTACCTGTAATCGCATATAATATAAAATATATTATAATGTATAATACATAATGTCACATATTACATGGTAAATATGCTTACATGTAACTTTATTAGAACCTGTATCTAGCCAGTATTTTGCCTATGATCTTTCTTTCATCATAACTTAAACTGATATAGTCAACAGTAATTTTGATTTAAGTGACTATCAGGTCATTTTCCAGGTGCATTTGGAAGTGAGATTTAGCTTGGGTTCTTCTTTCTGCAGGGTTCTTTTGTAAGATGAGTAGCAAAGGTTGGCGTGTGGTACAGAACCAGTCTCATAATTTATTGGTAATTTAGTCATTCAATCAGGGATATTTACTGAATACCTTGCCAGAACTTCAGAAGGCCCCTTGGAGATCTGAAAGGGAAAAGTATAAGAGAAGTCAAACTGTCTCTAGAGAGAAAGCCTTTATTTGCTATATTTTTGTTTCAAAAGAAAGAAACTTTTCAGTTCAAGTTATTATAGAGTGTTCAAGTTTCCAGTGTCTTTCTACTTGTCGTGTGCACTTACCCTGATATCCTGGCTGAGATGAGAAAACCCCAAGACCCAGGAAAGCTTTCTATAGATCAGATGGTTGTCAGTCCCTGAACTAAATTCCTGACATTCATCTAGGCTCCAGGCTGAGTGGCCTGCTTTCAAAGGGGCAATCAAGAGTTTCTGCCTTGGTCCTGTCACACCATCAATCTCATTAAAGAAAAGCAATGATGTTTCTGGAGTTTTGTGTAATAAAGACTTGATAACAAGGTTCATTTTCACCACATGACATTGGTTGAGTTTTCTTGATTCTGAACTTGTATCCAAAGAAATAATGGTGGGTATCTCGACTGCTTTTAGGTTTAAGGTCAATACACTGGGGGGGGTGTCTTAGTTTTGCTCTTGACAAAAACTTGCTTTTGGTTCTCTCTTTCAATGTTGAAACTAATGGCACTCTCCACGTGCCTTGGATCAATGGTAGTCTGTAAACGCTGACAGCCAGGTAGAAAGCAGTCCTCTTCCCGTGATTACTGGTAAACTCAAGATCGCAATAGCTAAACACACAACAACCCTCAGAAGGGGACATTAAAGAAGTTGTTTCTATAAGAGGGAATTGACATCCCTGGAAGGGTCAGTGCTGAGTAACCAGCCGAAAGCTGTGTGGTTCCACAGGGCAGAACCTACCTCTCTTCCCACTCTAGTCTTCCAGGATGGGCATAGGACAGCTTACTCAAAAGACAAATTGGTTTTACAATTAATGCCAAAGATGACCACCTTATTTTTTTTTAAAGTTCTCTTATGCAATGTGTTTTAGCTTTGAGAGTGGCAAGAGAAGAGGGTGTGAGCACTGCCTTGGGTCTCTCATTCTGGGGCTGTGTGAGTTCTGGGTGGGGGTGCCCTTCCACATGACCCGCCCACGTGAGGCATTGCCAGCTCTCTGCTTTGGCATGTGAACCAGGAGAGAATGATGCTGTCCTGGGTCCGTCCTGGGAATTATTGACTGGCTTCATTGGTCATGATACTCATAATTGAAGCTTGTTTGGAAGGAGAGCTTCCTGTTTGGAAAGGAGTCATTTCCTGTGTGATTTCTGGTTTTGGTCTGTTCATTGTTTATTCTTCTGCTTCTGTCGTTAGCATCATCTGAGCATCTCCCAGCCATGCTCTGTCCTGGCAGGTCCCTGGTTATTTTCGGCCTACCTGGCATTACTTCTCACTTGTGTGCATTCAAGAACTGGATACCCAGCCTTGGGCTCCTCTCTGCTTGCAAACTCACCTTCTAATTTCTTTTTCTCCCTGAATACTACTGACACCTGTTATCCTACTATACAGCTTAGTAAGTCCACCTGATCTATATATGACAGCCTTGTTCCCTTCATCTGCACACAAGTTCCTTGTTAGTAGAAGCCTAAGAGATAGGGGTGCTAACAGTACCCCTTTGTTTTGAGATTTCTTTATCATTGTATACCTAACCTCTTCAGATAATTTCTAAAAGTTCATTACTCTTCCTGGTTGTATATTATAAAAATAAGAAAAACAAAAAAGCATTTCATACAAATTCATTATGGTAACAAAGGAATCCATTTAGTTTTGATAAGTGCCCTTTGCTCTGATGGGAAGATTAAAAAAATAGTGATAATCACTGAGAAAAACAAATCAAACCTGTCTGGCTAAATGCCAATAATAGTAACATCACTTCATATAGGCTTGCCGCATGTTCGGCCCAGTGCTATTTACTGAGTTGCTCTGAAATGAAAATAAGCAGACATCAGCTATCAAGTGTCTTGCCTGGAAAAATCCAAAGGCCACTGGACACAGACACCATGGGGACATCACACAGACAGTTCATAAAAATAACTTGCCCAACATTTTTGGAACCTGATGCAAGCTATACTTGTGGCTCTGTTTCCTTTACTTTATCCAATAACAACTGAAAAGACGCCAGTCACCAGGGCTGTGATCAGTTGGATGCTCCAGGAGACACCAGCAAGCAAGGCTGCAATTAACTGAACAGTCAATTACACAGGGGAGATGGTGCTACCGAAGGCAGTCAACATTTAAGATTCCATGGGGGACTGGATGGCGGGGGTGCTTATCTTAAATTCAGTACAAAGGAGCTGACTGAGGTACAAGCAGGTGAGCAGAAGCACAGCCCTTGATCACTCTACCTGCATTCACAGTTGGGAGGGTCCCAGCTGTATGTCACATGAAAGCATAGAACAAATGGCAATTCATGCTAAGAATCCACTCAGAAATAAATGTCAGCTATTGTCTGATTTTAAGGAATTTGAAGTCCAGCAGCAAATCTGGATCCTATGTGTTAGGGATACTGTACAATTTCTCAGACTATTTGGAGGATAGAGAGTGATCGCTTCCAGTTGAGTGATGAGGGAAGGTTCTAGTATAGAGGAGGGCACACAGAAGGGATGAATGCTTTATTTAAAAACCCATCTTTTAATGAATGCAAAGCATACGTGAGTGTTCACTACACGGAGCACAAGCATGCGGAATTTTCACAAACTGAATATTCTAGCTGTGTAAACAGCACTCAGATAGCATCGCACAGTACTCCCAAAGCCCCCTGTTCCCCATCCAGCCACTCTTGGGGGAGCAGGGTTTTGTTAGATGGATGTAGGCACAGAGAACATTACTAGAGTGCTGTTCAGTATGCACGAAGGGGAACAAATGTGTGAGGAATGAGCTGACGAGTAATTTGCTTAGAGTGCCAGCTGGAGAACAGGACTGGTCTCTTGAAGAGTTTGTGTGTGTTTTGTGTGCTTTTTATTTTTTGAGTCAGGGTCTTGCTATGTGTAGCTTAGGCTGGCCTCGGTGTACTGAGTGTTGGGATTACAGGCATGAACCACCACACCCAGCTTCTATCTGCAGAAGGTTTTTGAACAAAGAGGATTATTTTGTAATACTTTTTGATGATGGTTAGTCATTTACTGGTGACAGGAAAGGTGAGGGACTGAAGGTTGGGATATGGGTCGGGATGCCTTCTACAATACTCCAAGCATGACATCATTTTGGCTCTGTAGTGACGGTGAGAATGGAGAGTAATCGGCCATCACAGACACTTTAAGAGGCCAACAAAAAATGGCATGGCTGTGGATCTTGAGGAAAAGGGAGAATTAAAGAAAAATTTCTTCAATAGATCTAATCAAGAGAAAATTTAACTTTCTCAGGTACTTTTCCTTTTTAAGAATTAACAGTTTTTGACTGTGTCTTGTGTCTCCGAGAGAGTTCTGAAAACTTAACAGTATTTGAATACAACTTTGAGCTACTCTAAGGAAACTTTAAGGAAAGCAAGTGGCCTTTCAGAGGAGCCCTTTGTTAGAACCATGGACTGTTTGTCTTTTCAAATGGGTGCATGCTAGAATAAACATTTTGCTGGAAAAACTGACTTCAGGAAGCTGTCACATTACAAGAAAATTACTGGGCGTTGCTCACCAGACTATTTCACCACCCTTTCCTTCAGTAACTTTTATTAATTTAGATTTCCGAGTAGGATGAATTCATTGCACTGAACATTCTTACCTGTGACGTTTCTACAGGAAAAGGACACAGTATTGTCTGTCTTTTATCACGTCAGCTACGTGGGCACCTTTGATCTACTGATGGCGCCCCTCCTGGCCTCCTCATCCCACCTTTCCCTCCAAAGCAGCAAAGTCTTCACCCAACAAATAATTTAACCCTCAACACACGCTGTGATCTACTACCAAGTGGGTCAAAGTCTTCTTAACAAAATGTCCTTCCAGCACCTTATTTCTTAGAGGCTTCTTGATTATTGGGGTCTGTGTTCTCAACACCAGGAAGCAGAAGGTTGGTGGCTGTAGAAAGCTGGTCCAGGTCCAGGTCCCCAGAGTCCTTTCTGGGAGCCTTGGGAAAGAGCACGTGGGTGGGAGGAGGGAGGGGAGTCCGGGAAGTTGCGAGCCGGCCCAGGCTGGACCCCAAGCTCTCTCCAGACCTCCGGCTCCATCACCCGGGTGGACGGCCAGGAGCAGGGAGAGGCCGCGGGCCGAGCTCCAGCCAGAGCTCCGCAACTTTTCCTCCCGCGGGGAGAGGAAGGGTATGAAGTTCAAAAGGGAAGTCCCGCCCCCTTCCCGGATTCCGATTGGCCGGGGTGTGGCCGGGGCCGGCCCCACCCCCTTCAGGAGGCAGGCTGATTGGCTGCGCGAGGGGTCCCCGCCGCAGGCCCGGAGAAGGGACCGCCGGGCCCCAGGTGGCCGGCGGGGCGGGCACGGCGCACCGCCCCCGCGGTTCCCTCCCGGTCCTCCAGTTCGTCGGAGTCGCGCGCTCGCACCCCGCAGTCCGGACGGTTTGCGAACGGCGGGAACGGCACCGCCGCAAGCTGGCCATGAAGAGCCTCAAGTCCCGTCTGAGGAGGCAGGACGCCCCCGGCCCCGCGTCGGCAGCCGCCAGTCCGGTGAGTCCCGCGCCTGGCCGTGGTGCCGGCCGCGCGACCCTCCGGCCCCGCCCCTCCCCCCCGAGGTCCCGCCGCGGGCGCCCCTCACCTCCAGCCTTCCGGGGGACCCTTGCTCCCCGCACGGCCCGGCCGGGGTTCGCGCCCGAGCGGACTCCGGACCTGCCCGGTCTGACCGACGCTCGGGCTGGGGGGCCGCGGACGCGGTGTGCCGTCCACTGTCGCTGCTTCTGAGCGAGGCCCCGGGGGTTCGGCTCACTTCGAGCCCGGAGACCTCACCTGTGCGGGATGGTGCGGGGCCTCACCTGTGGGCGTGGGAAGTGGGAAGCTCACCCGCGCGGGCCGCAGGGACATCACCCGTGCGGGATCGCAGGCGACCCGCTGGGACCTGGCCTCTGGGGCAGGGCCGAAGTCGGGGACGGCCTCAGGGTGGCGGGAGATCAGAAATTTTGGAACAGCCCGACCGCACGTGTTGGGATGGAGATAATTTGGCTGGTCAGACGAATGGCAGCATCATAAATTCCACGCCATTGAAATAAATGCCATTTATTTAAAAAGCCTGGAGGAGTCAAATTCCGAGTCGTGCCACTCAGACTGCCTACTTACTACCAAGTGGTGGAAGTTAAAATGGACTTTTATAATTTTATCCAGATTTTTACTGCAGAATTATATATATGCTTTTTTTTTTCAATAATACAAATCAATCTGTATCCACTTTTGAAGAAATTCAGACTTCTGTTTTCCTCTCCACTGGACTGTTTCCAGGACTATTTTACTTGGCCGTAATGGAAAGTGTGTAACAGCTAGGCTTTTAAATTCCCACCTCAAAAATAGAAAGAATGGATTCAGGTGACATGATTTTTGATATTTATTAAAGCATGAAGATGTTTTATGAGCTCATAGAAAGATTCTTTTTGTTTCGCTTTTAGAAAGTAACAATTGGCAGAAATAGGTGGTAATACGGGGGTCACAAGAGTGGAGTTAAAGATCCCACTTGAACTCAGGTGGTCCCAGCTTTGTAGAGGGCACGCCTTTTCTACATTTATTGGCTGTGTTTCCCAGTTTTGTTTGGTTACACTAAGGATTCATATTCCATTTGAAGGCTTATTAATTTTATCCTGTTTTCTCTTCTAGAAAGTCAGAGAAAGTATGCAGTTGTTGGGATTGCCAGTATCCCTGTTTCCATTGTATGAGCATAGACCTGTAGCTAAATTGAGCATTCTATAATTGCTAATAATATCAGTGTAACAATGAAATAGGTCGTATCACAAGACCTGTTCTCAGTTTGCTAAATAATAGAATACATTTCATAAGATTTAAATGAAAGTAAATGAGTCTGATGACTAGTAAAACTAAAGCAAGCTGGACAGAATAGAGTGAATGCACAGCAAAATAGATTCCTCTTGCTTTTCAGTCTGTGTATTCCGTGATGTTATGATTGGGCCTAGTTCTCTAAAAGAGTTTTTGAGTGGATAATTTTTAATATTTGCAAAGAACAAAAATGTTTACATCTTCAGCCACTCTGCTCCACCTTCCTCAGAAGTCACTGGGTGTTAGCTGCCTGCATGGCCCTCCAGAGAAAGCAGATATGAATATCAGTACTCACCCTCTATAGAAAAGGTAGCATGTCTACTTGCTGTTCCATAGTCTGTATTTTTTTTTAAAGCTGTAAATTAGGCCCATTCAGAGCTTTCCCATTCAGATCTTTAGATGTGAACTACTGTGCTGTAACTAATAAGCTTGTATTTATTTTGGGGGGGGGTGAGAGAAAATGTACCTATCTGCATGATCAGTTCTAAAAGTGGAATTGCTGGGTTAAAGGATGGCTGCGCTGCTAAGTTTGAAGGATGTAGTCCACTTTCCTTTCCTGCATCACACAGCCAGTGTATGAGAATATTTTTGACCTTTTATTTCCGTTAGCATGTTTTGATGTCTGCTGGATTGACAGGTAGAATATGGTATCTCAGGACACTTTTGGTTTGTATCTCCCTTATTATGAATGAAGTTGAGCATCCATCCAGAGTGTTACGAACCTCTTGAACCTTCTTTTCTGTGAACACTTTATCTTCTCCATTTCTATTAATGTTTTTTCTTAGTCATTTGTATGTTCCTTTTATCAGGGAAATTTAGCCTGATATTAAATGTAGCCTGATATTAAATGTAGCCTGATATTACTTAAATGTAGCCCTATATTTTTAATATCAGTTAATTAGTATTATTAACTAATTTGAATTCTTTATTGGTTATTTGTCATGACTTTTTTCCTTTTGGTGCTACTGGGAGTTGAACTTAGGGTCTCATGCTTGCTAGGCAGGCACTCTACCACTTTGAGCCACTCCTCCAGCCCTTTTTACATTGATAATTTTTTGAGACAGGGTCACACTTTTATGCCTGGGCTGGCTTAAACCCAAATCCTCCTATTTGTGCTTTCCCACATAGCTGGGGATGTCAGGTGCCTGCCACAGTGCTTAGTCATTGGTTGAACTTTTTGCCCAGTCTGGCCTTGAACCTGAATCCTCCCTGTCTCTGCCTCTAGGATTATAGGCTTGAGCCACCATGCCCAGCTTTTTGTCATGACTTTTTAATGGTGGCATTTGCTATGCAGAAGGTGGCTATTTTTATATAATTGAATTTATAACATCTTATTTTGTGACTTTTAGATTTATTTTTCATCTTGGCATTTTCATTGTGTAATATTTAGCAACAAAGATCCCTGAAGTTTCTTCTAGTTTTTTAAATAATTTTTTTTTAAGATTTGAGTCTTTGATGTATATGAAATTTATTCTGGTGTAAGGCAAGAGGATAGACATAATAGTTTCTTTTTTCTCCCTCCACTTCCTCCATTTAATTGTTATAGAAATGATGACAATTTGCTCTGTACAACTTTGATTTGAGGAAGAAACTTTAAAATGTTTCTGTCATAGTTTATGTATTTATTTAAGCTTATTATCTAAAGAACATACGTGAACAATAGACAGATGTATGTTATGTAAACATGCTATGATGTATGTGAAATTCAACATGTTAGCTTAACATGCTAAATTATAATTCTGTGCAGGAAAAAAGTAATTTAAAATATTCTCAACAGTACCATTCTTATAAATGTGAATGAGTTCAGAGCTCAGTCAGTGGGGATGTGTTTATACACACACATAAATAAAACTGTCCCACGATTATAAGTTGTGGGTACAGTACGTGTGCAAGTTAGTACTTTACTAGTCAAATCTGGAAATGGCTGCATCTCTTAACCATAAACTGTAATATCTTTATTTACTTTTAATTACTGAGTTGGAGCTTCAGATTTCTGAGCGATAATTATGTGACTGTAAATACTATCCCAGATCTATGTCAATTATGCATATAGCCAGCTATGTGCAATTATATGTACAGTGAGAATGGGCTTGTTCCGTTTTCACCTAGTTGAGATTAGGAAATGTGAGAGTAATAAAATTAAGGGATGATAATTCCAGAACTAGTAGAGGTGTATTGTAAGTGAACACTGTAAGCAGACATGTTGGGAGGGTACCAACACTTAGAGCAGAGTGAATTCTTCCAGCAGAGTGGGCATCTCTGGCCTGCGAGGCTCTGCAGTGGTTAATCCTGCTGCCTTTTCTCTAGACTACTCAGTAAGTGGAGCAGTGGCTTTTATAAGCCAGCAATTGCATATGTTCTAAAGCATCTTGCCAGTGCCTCGCACCCTGAAAAAAATACCAAGATTCTGAATGAATAGAGTTTCCAACATAGCAACTGGATGAAGCCTTCACAAAGCTGCTTCTCATTCCCACCAAGGAGGTACTTTGAGATGTTTAGAAAGTGTAAAGATTAAACATGATTTTGGGGTTTGTCTTGTGACGGTTTTGTGTTTTATACTTAGGAATTTGGATGCATTTGAAAAAATGTTAATGGTGTTTTCACAATGACTTGGGATAATGTGACTAATTAAGATCACAAATTGTTATCTTCATTCTAAACTCATATGCTTAATTTAATTTAGCACCGTTTACTCATTTTCATTAAAGAGGCCAACCTTTAATTAAAAATGTTTACCTTAATTAAAACTTTATTTAGGTACTTCCTGTTGTTATGCCTGCATTGTGTTTCACATTTCTTGCGGTTCTTTTAGGAAGGTGACACTACAGTAGACCTCTTTTCATAGTTTTGCACTTCAGCCCCGGCGTGGCTACAGGCTTACCAAAGTTGTCCTGCTGGGTCTGCTGGTGCCTAATGAGTCCAGAGCTCAGGTAATGAGCGCTAGGATTTTAATTGCCGCCTTTAATAAGGGTGAAGCAGTAGTGTATGTCTTTATTTATTGTGCATGATACACACTGTTCAAATTTAAAATGATTAGTTTAGGCATTGCACTTTGCTAGCAGTCACCTTACTTAGTTTGGAAAACAAGTAGAATATGTAAGTTAGACTCAAGACTGAATTAATAATTGTGTCCTCTGAAGAAGTGGATGATCCCAGGTCAGGGCAGAAGAGGCTAAGAGCAGCTGGAGTCCCTCATCGTGCTAGAATGCAGTGAGCTGTCGAAGCTCTGGACTCAAGCCAACCTGAAGAGGCTCCACTGGTCAAGGATGGGGCCTTTTGAGCCCCGGTAAGGATAAAAACTGGGTGGACTGAATCTTCACAGTCATGACTTCATAATGATGATTAAGAATTAAAAACGGTCCATTGCAGGATGCTAGAGAACTGCTGCTTTCTTTTAAGCTCTGCAAATAAAGGGAATAATAAAACATTTGTGGGGCTTTCCTATGGGAACTGTACCTCAGGGTAAGGAAATAGTCCATAAGGGAAAGTTTCTTTTAATAATAAAGGTATTTTATCCTAGCTAGTAGGTGAAGAAGGGGTGATACAGCTAGTTTATCACATATTCTGTTTCAGTTAATAGATGAGGAAGGGGTGGTAGAATCAGTATGTTATAATTTTGCAGCTCTTAATGAATTACTGGGTTTAGAGTGATATCTAGAAGCTACTAATGCCTCAAAAAGGGTAAGCAGACA